TTTTGCCCTCTTGTTTTCCAGCTGTGCCACCAAACTTCCTGACACCATTAGCACTGCTGTCATGTTCAATGTTGTCAGAGTTTTCTTTCTACAAGGAGCTGTATGTCTTCCAGGCTTTTTTTACCCCCCAAATGTGCATTTTCTTAATAGGATCCCACCACGAGTTGTGCAGATAAAAGTTTTTGCAAAGTAGCATCATCAAAGTCAAGTGGAATGTAGCCTTTTACCACAAAGGGCAAAATCGCAGCCCATAAAATAAGAACCATGCCAGTGATACGTCAGCCTGGAAATAATACGAGTCAGAGCTGAGAATCAGAATCCAGAGAGTCCAATGGTGTTCATTTAAAAAATAATAAAAAATTGAAGTACATAGAAATATTTGAAATGCTGCATGAGAAGGAATTATTTTTTAAGAGCACTTCTAGTTTACATTATCCAGAGTATCTCAATGGAATAGCTTTATATTAATAATATCTCATCTATTATGTATATTGCAATATGCCTAATACAATTGCTGAAGAAATTTGGTGCTGCTAATTCTTCTCTTTCTTTTTGTTCCCTTTTCAAAGGGGTAAAAAGATTAGGAGAGCAGTTTAGAGCAAAGTATACTTTGCAGTACAGACTTCCCACAGATTAGGAATATCAGTCACTACATTTCTTGTTTTTCTGTTTCAGCCTAAAAATCTCTGTTTTCCTAGAGCTCCTCTTCTATTCTGCCTCCATTTTAATGCCCACTGCCAGCACTGTATCATCACATCATTGCATTATTTATTTTTGATTATTTAATATTTCACTAGAATTCCATTCTCAAGTTACTTTAATACAGTCCTATATTAAAGGTGCAAAATAAGGAAGCTAGGGAGTGCAGAAGTAGCTGAATATTGAATTTTTATTCTGAAATTTTGAATAATCTGGGTTAAAGGGTCCTGGCTGATCCAGTCTATAATACAATGACCAAGATCTGATATCTTTTGAGATGTCTTTTCTTCTGACATATAGTGCATGAAGCTTGATCACTAGTAATTATTTTAGACCTTTTGAGTTTGAAAAGTCACTGGGAAAAATGCAGAGGATTTAAAAGTAAATCTGTGAACCTTCAGCTGTTTTAGACTTTTCCCCCACTGTGCCTCCAGAAGAGATTCCCTCTGTTAACTCATCACTAAAGCAATCGTGTACTACTTAACAGAGGTGCTATTTTCTACTTCATGTGTCTCCCTATGAATTGTGCAAGAGGCATTAGAGAGCCCTGCCTTCCACTGAACACATGAAAAGGCAGAGCAGAAAAAAGCTTTGCAGATTTATTGCATTCTCTGTGCATAGCCTTTCTGGGAGGGAGGGAGAGAATTGGCAGCGGGTCGTGCTGTGGAGCAGAGTCTGCAAGGACACAGGGAAATCTTTGCTAACCCCTAAAGATCTTAAATAGCTCCTTAAAACACTCCTCCTTACCATGAACATATTTTCCAGGCATGATCTAGAGGTAATACTGAAGAAACATGTTATAAAATCTGCTTCCTCTTCCTCCCCTCAACCCTTACATCCACAATTTCCAGATCAAGGGAAGGAGGACAGGGAGTGAGGTCCAGGTATGCTCTGGTAGGAGGCAGGTCACAAACATCCTTCCAGGTGGAACTTCCAGTGCACCTCCCACCACCTGCTGTGGGCTTCCATGGCAAGAGAGCAATCCCATTGGGAAGAGGTGTCACTTTCCAGCCCATGGTGAGCAGCCTCTTTCTCCTGCTGGCCAGCTGATTCCCAGAGGAGTCCCGTGTGTGCCATGGGCACCAGGTGCAGTGGCAAAAAGCATCTTTCCAATAGAAAGGTTCTGTTTGATTTGTCCCAGGTGCAGACAGCAAGGCTCTCAATGCAGATTTACTTGATCTTGCTCAGAGGGTGAAAAGGCGAGATAAACAAAAAAACCCAAAAACCAAAACCCAAAAACCTATAAGGGGATATAAAATCTCATTGAAAGGGTTTCTTATCTTTTGAAGAACCTCCCTCTTCAGCTGTCACAGAGTTTCGGATGGCTCTCTCCAATTTCCAATAAATTTGAGTCTTAATGATTGCTGAGCTGTGCATGTGAAACACCAAGGGTTGTTTTCCCATGTGCTGTCCTGTGGCTCGCTGGGTTCTGTTGTGCCTGCCCTCTGAAGAGCAGGTGGAACTGGGGGACTGTTCTGCTGAAATGCTGTGCTCTGCTTCAAGGCTGTTTCCATCTGGGGCAAAAAATTCAACCACTGACATTATTAGGCTGAGCAACATAAGGCCTAAGCACTAATCTGAGGTTTCTTAGTCAGTTCTTGACTTCTCAGACCTTCACTGTTTTGCCATCTGCTATAATTGAAAATTGCCTTCTGCAACCAAAGGGAAAATCTAATTTCTCAGCAAGCCATATGGGGTTATTAAGATCATTAAACCCTGGTATGCCATAATGCCTGGGCCAAAAGGACCACAGGGCACGTAAATATCGTGTGATTCATTTTATGGCTTCAGACTGCAAGTTAGGAATTATTTTGATGGCTGTCTTATGATGAAAAGCGCTGGTCAGGTAGGCTGCAGCAAATGTTGCTTGGTGAGGTCAATCCATGGCAGGTTTCCTCAGAGCTGTGATGGATGAGAAGTGGTTTTAATAGTTTTTGATCACAAAGGGTAAAACTTTTGCATCAGCCTGACAAATGATCAGCCAGTGTCCTCAATTGTATCAGAGATGCTAAAGGCAGCCTTGAATATTAAGAAATCAGAGAAGACAATTTCCACTTTTTAGGAGGACCCAGACTTGGCTTCCCATCCAGGACCTAAAACTGATGATTGTAGTTTGGACTCCCTTTCTTAAGAAGAGGAAAGCTATTCCCTACAGATGCCTGTTTATGAACCCTTTAAAACTGAGATCCTTAATTTTTTGTTCTGTTTTCTGTTTCCGTAGATGTGATGTTTTATAAGATTTCTCTGTAGCAAAACCCACTACTGTGTATTTGATACCACTGTTGGGGAGAATATTAAAGCTGATTCTTTGTTAACAGGGCTTCCAAAATGAATGCAGGAGCTGTGAAATTTACATGAAATTAAAGAAAGAATAGCTCAGTAAATGCAAATAAATGCAGGAACAAATATTTTAATTTGAATTCATGATTAATGCCAAAGGATTACCAGCAAACCATTACAATGTGGTGATGACATAAAAACTCAATGGGAATAAAAATTCTATATGCACTAGTTAACTGATGGCAGGAAGCTATTTTTAGCAGGGCAGCTCAGAGTAATTTAATATTTTCTTTTTTTTTTTTTTTAAACATAGCAATTGGTTGTATTTCAGGTTCTGTCTATGCTAATTATGTCTCAGAATATTTTTTGCTATTGTATCAGTTCCTTCATTATAAAATGTGCCCACTATGATCAATAGACTTCTTCCCATTCTTCAAGTTATTAAATGAATTTTATTGAAAATAGGCGTTACTGATTGCCACTTTTCCTTGTGCTGTGTAACTAAAGGAGTTAAGAACAAATTGGTGTGATTATATCTAAGAATTAGAGATAAGGAAAAGAGTGAAAAATGTTTCCCTCCTTCAGTTTTCCAGTCATCTCCATCTGACTGCATTTATTTTCTCACTGTGTCAGAAAAATAGAAACCAAAGCAGTTCTGGATAGGCTTTACTTTCTGTAGCACTGGGGTCGTCTCATCTTACCATTTTGAAATCAAGATAAATTAAATGAGGTAAAAAAAATTATTTCCTGTTCTATTTTACTGTCCAAATGGCTTTTGCTTTTTAGTGTTCTTGGAAGTCACAGTTAGAATAAGAGAGCAATACTTATAATTTTCTCCAAAACTGGGAGTCCCCTCAAACCTTATATGGTTTTGTTTTTGTTTTTTTTTTTCCCTTTTCTTTGGAAACCATGAAAAAGCACAGCTGGTTTTTAATTTGCACAAGGTGCACAGTTTTTGTTGCTTTCTGACTGCTCCTGGGCATTAATGTTGCCAGCCCAGAATTCTGCTTGGGAGTATCTGAAGGATGTACACCCACAACATGTGCAGGTAGGCATGGCTTTCCAAGCCAGAACTGCTTGGGAAAGGGGTGGGCATGGGAGCTGAGGACCTTGGCATTGAGTCAGGATGCTCAGACATCCTGTCAGGATGCTCAGACATGCCATGGCTGCCTGTGTGGGTAAATGAACCTGCTGCCACCGTGGTGTTTGCACCCCACACGTTATCCCTCCCCTCTGCCAGGAGCCTCCTATGCCTCCTCTTCTGCTGCAACCACGCTGCTGTGGCTGCTCTCATTTGAGATGGCTGCATGAAGGAACCCTCACCCTTCACTAATTGCAGTGTCCATCTTAATACATCTCAAACATGGGAATAAACGAGCAGAGGCCTCAGTAATGAAGTGTTTGCTGGCACGATGTGCACACAGAAATGATTGTTGTGCCTGATTGCTAATTAAAGGCAGCACAAACCCAGTGAAATCCTAACTCATCTGAAACTAATGGGAATTTTATCTCCACCATGTGCAAGTTTTGTTTCTGGCTTCTTTCTGCACTGCGGGTAGTGCTGGTCTTTGATGTGGATCACAAGTGAGCCCATGAGGGATTATGCAATGGAAATAATTTGAAGCCATCCCTGGCCTAATCTGGCTTGAAGGAGATCAAGTGCTCATAATATTGTTATTGTCATATGAGGCTGGGCATGTTTGCATATGTCTAACTTCAGTCTTAAGTGTGCCACAAACTATGGATGTGTCTTTCCTACAATATCCTTCCCCTCTGCATTGTCAGAACAGTAATGTATACACGGCTGTTGTGGCTGAGTGTCTCAAATTCTGAGAATCAGTCCAATCTAAGCACCAGTGCCATGGGAAAGTTGTGTTTTATTGATCCCTCTTTTCTCATTATTAGACTGATCCCTCCTGCACAAGATTTATTCATAGGCTTTGCTTAATTTTTGCTTTCAGCCTAACAGTGTATCAAATCAATATTTATTTTCACCTGTGTGAATGATTCCATAGCGATACCAGGCTTCCCCAGTTTCCAAGAAGCAGATTAGAAGCTCTGCCTCAATATCAGTGGCTAGAGTGGAAATATCATCTGGAGATGTCTTCAAGGGATCATCTACTGCAATGCCTTTAGAGCAAGGCTGTACAAGAAACGAAGCCACTATAATGTTATAAGACACCATTTCTTAGCTAGAAGCACTTTGTGTAACTGATAAATGGAGAAAACTGAAGTAAAATATACCTTGGCTTTAATTAAAGTCAACTAGAGAAATCAGTGCAAATATATTGGAACATAACACAAAATATGGTGTGATCTTCCCAGGAGACATAGACAAGAAAGCAGAGAATACACTAAAATCTTAAAAAAAAAAAAAAAAAAGCTGTTGGGGAAAGATAGACTTTCTTTCCTATTTTCAAAAATTCATGTTCAACTTCAGGCTCCCCAAATCTGTGTCTGTCTTCAGGTCAAGGTTGAAGGGGAAGTCAGAGCTGTTTCCTTACATCAGCAAAGCACTGGTGAACTCTGCCTTAGTCCCACAGGTGGGAAGGCAGAGAATGGAACAAGGCAAGGAAAGCAGAAAATCTCCTCCTCATTTAATGGGAGGACTTGTCCTTCCAGCAAACTGCTACAGAAAGTAAAAAGGATGAGATCAAACATCTTTCCTCCTTCTTGAGCTGTACAGAATTGAACAGAGAGAAACATCATATTTTCTGTTGAAAAAAATACTCTTTTCCTGATAGATAAATCACCTGCTGTTCACCACAGCTGGTGACTTTCTCATTAAATAATGTTCTATTTAATAATGTGCATCATTAAACTTAGATAATCCAGAACTTCTTAAAATTTCAGGGAGCTCTCAGCACTGGCAGAGTGGGCAGGGCCACTTTCAGTCCTCAAATCTGTTTTATTGATCTGCAGGCGACCTGATTTCGTATTGCCAGAAAGTAGTAAAAAATTAACTTTTAGTTCTTGAGAAAATTCAGCTCTAAGAAAATAGATTAAGTCTAAGAGCCCTGTCTTTAAGGACAATAACCATATAGTGCTGCTAATGGAAATGCAATTGAACGCCCTTTGCTTGGATAAGCATCCCTAACAGGATTGTTTAGTGTGCAATGATTTCATCTGACTAAGTGACTTCACTGCAAATCAGCTTTAAAAGTAGATTTCTAATGAAGATTAACAAAGTGATATTTATCTGGGCTGTGTGCTTAAACTCTGGGATCATGCTGAGGACCTGCTTTAGAATTATTGCCAAGGGGTTCTCTCTTGGGTCTGCTTTGTCCCTCACCACAGCTTTGAAGTGGAAGGAGGAGCATCTGGCCTGTTTGTCCAGCTCCTCATCCCTAACAAATTTATTTACAGTAATTACTTTCTTGTGCCTCTGTAGTTACATTCCAGTGGTTGATCTTTAGGAGGTACAATGTCAACTCAGCAGGTTGAGATCTCTTTAGATGATTAAGTCTGTCAGGAATAAAAAGCTCTTCAATATATGCATTTTCCTCCTTGTGTGTGGTCCCTATGAACTGAGAAGGGTGGGAGATTCATATCCACATTTGGCACCTACAGAGCTAACCCTGTATTTAAGATTTTTGTCCATTGGTCAGCTCAATCCTTTACAGGCAACAAGGGTCATTTAAGGAAGTGTCCCCCCAGTTCAGGTGTGATAAATGTTTTTGATTTCCCATCCCTTATCTGCTGAGTGAAGTTACACAGTGTATATAATAACACCCATATTTTTAAGATTTTCTATCATCTTGTTATCAGTAGAAGTTATAAATCAGAATATTCATCACTTTTAAGTCTGCTCATGGTACCATATATATCTGCTGAAGTGTCTCTGTGGATAAGGCAGGCTATATGTAGCTAAAAGACCCAGAGAATTATGTTCACATCAGTGAACATAAAAGTATCATCAAGTTTTTCTGTAATAACACTTTTCAGCTGAATTGGCCATGCTGTGACCTCTGTTAAATTTATGGGAATGAGAGATTTGAGGCTTCTCTCTGGACTTTCAAGTTCTTGAATGATTGTGAGAAGAAAAGAATCATTTAGGGATCCCTTCAATATAAAGTGCTGCAATTCAGAGTTTCCTCGAGCCTTGGTGCTGATATGAAGAGTTATGTTTAGACCTGGGTAACCCTTCAGTTATCTCTGACAAAAACCAAGACATCTCAGAGTCTCTCTGAACCATATCTGGACAGATAAGGATTCAGAAAATATGTATAAATACAGTGAAGATTGGGTTCTGTCAAGCCTTCTCTAAGACATCTCAGAGTAAGAGTTTAAAGAAACTAATAATAACTCAATCTTTAATCTCCCAAAATCAGAGTAATAATTTTACAGGGATGCACCTGTGTTTGCGACCATCTCACCTCTATACTTTTCATATCCCAACCCCTCTCCTGATTTCTCTGTAGCATTTCTGCAGTAATCCAATGCATTTGAGAGATATCGCTCCCCACTTGTTCCATACAAACAGCAGCAACATGCACCAAAAGTAAGATCCAACTTAGTTTTGTGGAAATGGTTCTTTCTGTAGTAAGCAGAAAAGTTATGAACATACAAAGTAGCCATAGTGTCTGGTGTAAGTGAGATGCACAATTCCATCTGCTCACTGCTGCAAGGACTGTTTTTGGTAGCAATACAGACAGCACTGGAAAAGGCTTCTGTTGGGTGAGCCACCTCTGCACAGCACCATTTCCCAAGGTCTGATGGAGGTGATGCTTTGTATATGTGTGTTTCACCACCCATCACTGCATTTCCCTGGCCCTTCTGACAAAAGGACTTGGCAACACAGCAGGGGAAGGACTGTTCTTCCCTGGCATTGTCCTGTCTGACACTGAATATTGAGTCTGGCTGAGTATTTTTGGTGGGTGAGGCAAAGACTGTGCCAGAAAGCACCTGAGGAAGCTCATCTGGGAAGTTCTCCTGGGAGGAACTAGGAATTAGGAAGGAAACAGCAAACTGGGTTTGGCAGCATGGGGGGTGTGGAGAAGAGCTGTGGAAGGACTCAAATCTGAGTTTCAAAGGGGAAGATAAAAAGAGAAATTTCCTAAGGATCCAAAGGAGCTTCTGTAGATACAGATTGTTACCCTGGGAAACCTCATTGGACTGAGAGCAAGGGAGGAAGAAAGGCTGTGCCATGCACAGACATAATGAGCAGGGATGAGATTTGTCTGCAATTTCCATGTTTCACCTGGCAGAACCAACCTTTCTTTATCTTGCTGTAGTCTGCTGTCTAACAGCACAAACTTTGAAGTTTAAAAGTGCTGTTGGTGTTTTGGAGTGCTTTGAGCAGAAGGTGAAAACATCTCCATCACACTCCTCTGAATACCTTAAGATCTTGTCACAATTTAGCTGTGGGCTTGGAGAGACAGCTCCATTTTGTGCCATTGAGGTTTTCTTCTCCCAGAATTATGTGACAAAATTTATTTTAATTCCAAACTGGGAAATTTGCAGATATGTCTTAGGACTTTTGGTCTGTAGAAATCTTGCCAAAATCTTAAAGCTTGTGGAGGCTATGAAATTGAAGCAAACAACTTAAGCATTTGAAGTTTTACAGCCAATCTGGGGTTAATAACTTGAAATCTATAATCTTATTTCCTTCTTTACCATAGCTAGCAAACCTAGCAGGATTTTTTTACTTCCAGACATAGTCTATGTGGGAGTAGTCCATGCAGTATTAAGAAATATTTATTTCCAGAAATAGTTTAATTTTAAAAAGGGGGTTTTGTTACAGCTGGAGGTCACTGTGTAAGTTCTGTGTACACACATCCTTTAGAAGATTGCTGCAGACCATTTAGAAGAGAATCCAGAGAGTTACCCAGTGGATAAATGAAAGGTAAGGAATGAAAGCATTACCTGGAATTTTTGCATTAGTGGTAAACGAACTCATTATGTTTTACTTTCACTGATAAAGGAGATTTCTCTTGTAATATTAGGACCCTAAAAATATACTGCTGAAACCACAGTTGTGTAAACACCTGTGATAAAATGCTTTCTCAAAGGTCACACAACAAGTCTGTAACCTTGTGACCTCAGCATAGATTTGTTGTGGTATTATAGCTTGAATTTTGGCAGCAGCAGGCAGGGAAATTTCATGAGTAAGGATCTCACAGTCATTAGTTAATAAGAAAGAGAGGAAAAGATCTCTCAAACCCACCATGGCTTTGGTGAAAGCCCAGTGGAAATGCTGATCATCACAGTAGCTCCTAGCTAATTTCCCCCAATGTGTAATTTGCAAGACTAAAATTAGAGCTCTGGTGATGTGTACATTGACACATTGGAGGTTTTTTCACTGAAACCAAAGTGAAATGCTCAAAGGTCAGAAACTGGCCAGTTTACTGATCACTGCTATAGGTTTGGTGTATGCTCAGTTCAGCAATACAGGTTGCCCTAAAGAAGAGGTGCCAATGGATATCCATCTCTTGGCTATCCATCTGTATCTGTGGCTACAGACACATTTTGACAGTGAAATCATCTTGGGAAAACAAGCAAATTTGGTCAAATGGTGTATGGCAATGGGATTCTTTGGCAACTTCCACAAGATCAGTCAGGCTGAAAGGCTTAAGAGCCAGTTTGAATCCAGCAAAAACCTGCCAGCCTTGCTGGAGCCGCCTGCTTTCCTTTTCCTTCAGTATTTTTTCTGTTAGCAAAGGAATGTTTAATCATGCCTCTCTGTTTTAAAGATAACTGTGTGGCTTTCCCTGGAGTGATTTTTAAAGTGGTTAATCAGAGGGACAAACCTGAAAAGGCAAGAAATATTTAATTAGTGCCTTTTCTTCTACTAGCCAGCAGTTCTAACCAGATGCCTTCACTTCAGAGCCATCCAAGTAATCAGCCTGGTAACGTCAGTGCATCTCACATCAGGCACCTGGCAAGTCCAACACTGACTGCGTCCCAGAAAATGTCTGCTAAGGAAGGCTACTCCTGAAAATCACTTTCAAAACCTGAGAGTGAGCTTCACACAGGGCTGAAAACAAACTGCTTTTTGTATGTTGAACTGTAATCCAGCCCTTACCACTACTAGGCACTAGTATCAAAAATCCTGCAAGAAACCAGCATAACGAAGAATTGGTTAATGGTCGTTTTGTTTCAGTGGAGAGGGGAAAAGAAACGTCAGTACAGGAGAATAAAAAGTGTGAGGGATTTCTCTCAGT